AAGATGATAATAAGATGATATTTTTAAGCTATGTGCTGTAGCATAGCTCCATGAAATTGAGTGTTAATGACTTTATCCTTATTATCATTTAAGAAGTTAAGTGAAATGAACTTATGGTATAAATTACACTAACCTATTAGTATCCTGGTGTCTACTATGCTAATTTGAATAGGTCTTATTTTGCAATCAAACAAATAAAGGAAAATTAGAAATGAGCTATGCTTGGCATTGTAGAAGTTTTCCTTCATAAACGGATAAAAAGAAACACTCCTATTACTAATTTTCTCTGGTGTAATTGAGAAGGATACATTAATGTGAAAACTTCCCATGATAACTGATATACAGCAAGGCCTGGTCTGCAGTCAACAATCTGCTTCGGATGGACTTAATAACTCCCAAATTTAGTTGTCTCTAAAAAGTGTGCATATCTTCCAAAAGTGCAGGTTTAAAAAAAACGAATCTTATTATCTGGCTGAACACAAGAAGTTCAGACAAACTCTACTTCATTAAAATGGTTGAGCTAAATAGAATCTTGTGAGAATATTTTTCGGTTCCCCCAAATTTCAAAATCTTTTCTATATTTTTGGCTACTATTCATACTAACTAAAATTTAATTTTTAAAAACATTTTATTTATTTATTTTATAGGCAGAGTTACAGACAGAGAGGGGAAGACACAGAGAGAGAGGTATTCTATCCATTGGTTCACTTCTCAAATGGAAGCACCAGCTGGAGTTGAGCTGATCCAAAGCCAGAAGTCAGGAGCTTCCTCAGGGTCCCCCCTTCTGTTGAAGGGGCCCAAGAATTTGGGCCATCTTCTACTGTTTTCCGAGGCCTTAGAAGAAAGCTGGACTGGAAGACTGGGACACAAACCAGCACCCAGATGGGATGCTGGTGACACAGTTGGAGGGTTAGCCCACAAAGCCACAATGCCAGCCCTTAATTATTTTCTTTTTTTTTTTTTTTTTGAAGAGTATTTTTTTTTGTCAAATATGAGTTATATTTTATTTTTTTATTTAATAAATATAAATTTACAAAGTACAACTTTTGCATTGTTGTGGCTTTTCCCCCATAACCTCCCTCCCACCTGCAACCATCCCATCTCCCACTCCCTCTCTTATCCCATTTTCATCAAGATTCATTTTCAATTATCTTTATATACAGATGATGAACTTAGTATATACTAAGTAAAGATTTTAACAGACTGCACCCACACTGCCACACAAGATATAGAGTACTGTTCGACTAGTAATTTTACCGTTAATTCTCATAGTACAACACATTAAGGACAGAGATCCTACATGGGGAGCAGGTGCACAGTGACTCCCATTGTTGTTTTAACAATTGACACTCTTATTTATGATGTCAGTTATCAGCCTCGGGTCAAGGCTGTCAAGGTTATGGAAGCCTCTTGAGTTCACCAACCAAATATGAGTTATACTTTAAAAAACAAATATTAGTTCTTAGGAATAGTCATAGTCTTCCTCAAAATGGCGGACATGAAGGTCTATCTCAAGTACACATTAGTTCAATCAGAAGAGATGAAATGAAATAAGTACCTGCCATCATCATTACTATTAAGGGTGATTTTAGAAGTCCTAGTTTATGCAACTAGAAATTAAGACAATAACAAAAGAAGGATAAAACAAAGGATAAAATAGCT